TTTTTTGGCTTTCCATTTCGATGACAGGCCAGCCGTGCAAATTAAAAGCGCGCAGCGTGGGTTCGCCGCGGGCAAACAATTTACTGTAGCTGCGACGAAATATTTGCTTCCTCATAAACAAACCTGGTGATCCAATTTGTGCTAGGTGCATTTAGTTGCTTTTGACGCATCGCGTAAGTCGTCGATACATTATAACAGTAACTACAACGTTAAAGAGTTATTAAAAAAATAATGCATTAAATTACTGTTGCAATTTAGTTATTTTTATTGCTTTGGTACAGCGTCTATTTATTACGCTGAGAAAATGGAGAAAAATACAATTTATTATTAACAAAATTACAAAAGAAATTACGTTTACAGTAATTATTAAAATTAAATGTAAGTTTGTAAAAACGCTGTGTGCTAAAAAGATTATAATTAAGCTAAATACATATATTAGTAATTATATATATATATATATATATATATATATATATGTATGTATATATATATATACACATATATAATTACTAATATAAAGGCTTTCTTATTGGGAAGAATTTTATGATAAGAGAATGCTTAGCTATATAAATTGGAAATTCTGCAAAATATTTATATAAAATAATTTTATAAAATATATATATATATTTATTCTCTTATCATAAAATTCTTCGCAATAAGAAAGCCTTTGTGAAATGCCATAGATGAAATTACCGCTACTTTAATTTATTGAAAACACGTTTATCATCATCGAGATACACGTGAAACTATTTAAAACGCGTAGCTTAGCATCGGTGGAATTTACCGTTGATTTTATCTCTTCTCTTTCTCTCTCGACTAAAAGTTGTATCTCGCGCTTGTACGATACGTATAAGAGTTGCAAAACATCGAATGCTTGTTCACGGACAGTTTGATGTTCACGATGAATCAGACGAGCGAGCAAGACGAGTTGAATTTTGTATGTCTGATCGAGAGGCATATTGACACATCGGTTGAACGCCGATCGTGCCATAGTCTCTCTCGCGTTACAATGCGATACTATGTATCAGGTATCCGTGAATCATGCAATGCGTACACCTAACGCGCCACGCGCTACGCATACGCCACATAGATTACCACATTAAGATCAACGGATAGGATCAAGCAAAATAGGCACCAGAGACGAGGTGACACATTCTTGCCATATCTCGGTGCAATTTCAACAGTACTATAAATTCGCCTTCCTATCTTTATTTTATTTTGAGTACTATAAATTGTTGAAATTTATATATATATATATATATATATATATATATATATATATAATGTGTAACTTATGCTCTCTTATATTGCAACACAGGGGTATTTGTTAATTTTTATCGCTTTATGAGAAGATTCTTTTATTCCAAGAAAGATGAGCCTTTGAATGCAAAAAATGTATATTAATTTCATCAGATATACTAAATTCGGTCAATTTTGTTAAATAACTTTACAGAAAAAGAACATTGACGAGGAGAAGAGAAGATAGGGTTGAAATATAAGTATAATTTTTGTAAGCACGCGCGTCCGTAAAATCGTGTTTACATATTTTATCTCACAGAAGATCCTTACATTTTTCCTAAAATATTTTCGTGTATAACATATACAGCATTCTATGTCTTATGCTCGATTAGAAATTATTCAGAGGACTGTGCTTCCAAGCGGTCATCCCTCACAATGTATGCAAAAGAGATTTAATTTAACGTTAGATATTAAAATACTTGGCGAATATCGAACGATTACTAATTTATCTTAACGAATCTAGCTCGGCTGCCTACCTGAATCGTTAATATCAACCAGCGCTAATTTAGTTCAAGGGAGTTGTACGAATTTCTCGTCTTTGTTCTCCCTGCGTGGAATACGATGGTTTAGCAATTGCGACGAGGGCGCGTCCCGGCGTAACGGTAGAGACAGTCGGAAAGACAGACAGTTCCCTACCAGATCTTACCACCTTGCATAATGCATCGCGCGACGCCACTAAGCCAAAGGGGAAACTTCCCTGACGTGGAACGCCAGAAACACACACGCGTCGCTCTTGCATTTCTCTCTTCCTTCCTTGTTCAGCATCCCGTTCACAAATCCCTTCATCGACTTTCGCTGTTTGTTTAATTTTTATCTTCATACGATGCGTCCTCCGTATTTTGCTTTTTTTAATTGAAGAAAAATTTTATCAATCCCATATCAGAAGAGATAATGTTTAGATTTTATAGCATATGTGTAATAAAAATCGGGATCGATGCGCGAGAAATCTATCATGAACAAATTGTTGAAACAATACATATTAGCTGTTATATTGTAATAGATGAAAATACTGATATCTTTATTTACATGCAAAAATATTCTGCTCCGATATCAGAATCTTTGTTTACGTGCAATAATTGTCGCAAAATTCGTAACAACCTCAGCACTATATACAGGGTGAGACATCTAAAACAGGCCAGCTGAATAACTCCGTTGGTAAGCCGAATATAAAAAAATTGTTCAGACAAAAGTTGTATGGTTTCAAGGGGGACATAAGATGGTGTCATTAGTTTGATCTTGAAGAGCCACCTGAAGGACACGCGAAGGTCAGCTCCAATTTTTTAAATGGGACACCCTATATGCTTTTGCATATTCTTGTAGCTCATCTCAAGAGCTTTCCAAAACACTATAATTAAGTTAGTTTTCATTAAGTACTTTCCAAGTTATGAGACTTGAAATCATTTTTTAATTTTACATAAACCGTAAAATATCTTGTAAAATATTCATTTTTCGATTATTTTACCTTAATACTTTTATGTACAAAATAATGAGAAGAATCAATTGGTGTAAAGAAAACTCATAGTTGTTTCGAAAAAAAATATGTAATTTGCAATTAACAATTACATATTTTTTCTTAAAAATAACTATGTCTTTTCTTTACACCAATTGATTCTTCTCATTATTTTGTACATAAAAGTATTAAGGTAAAATAATCGAAAAATGAATATTTTACAAGATATTTTACGGTTTATGTAAAATTAAAAAATGATTTCAAGCCTCATAACTTGGAAAGTATTTAATGAAAACTAACATAATTGTAGTGTTTTGGAAAGCTCTTGAGATGAGCTACAAGAATATGCAAAAGCATATAAGGTGTCCCATTTAAAAAGTTGGAGCTGACCTTCACGTGACCTTCGGGTGGCTCTTCAAGATTAAACTAATGACACCATCATATGTCCCCCTTGAAACCATACAACTTTTGTCTGAACAATTTTTTTGTATTCGGCTTACCAACAGAGTTATTCAGGTGGCCTGTTTTAGATGCCTCACCCTGTGTATATATATATATATATATATATATATATATATATATATATATATATTTTTTTTGCGCAGAGATAAAGATTTAATGAAATTTTTTACACTTTAATACGATCGAACGTTGCACGGTTTGCGCGGCCGCTCGCTTCGAATTTGCCTGCATTGGGTTTCACAGAGGAACACGAGGCGGTACGTTAATTCCGAAATCCCGTGAAGCACTTCGACTATCGTCATCTTGTATGTACCACGTCGTAGTTGCGTAGCTGCCTAGACGTTACGTGCGGACGGTAGTATGGTAATCTAGTTCGCGCCAAGTTTCTGCCGAGCTCGAGTTAAGTCGGCTGCGTCGAATAAGCTCCCGGTGTTACCGCGGCTGATGAGTCCAGGACACTTTGGGGGTATGGTTACTGAAAGATGACACGTTCCCGTCGCATCGCGATAGAAAGCCATTCCATCGGCTTTCGCATAGCGTATTGGAGATTGCTTCCCTGATTCTGTTTCTTTTGGATCGCGACTGCACGTCGATAACGTTGCCAAGATTCATTTAGTTTGCCGCGAAAATTGTTTTTCTTTTTATTTTAACGTATGCTAAGTAAACGGTTTTTCATTTTATATATTATAGATTTTATTGCCAATGATCTACAATAGTATCTGCAATAATGAAAAAAGCATTTATGTGATTTATTTGTAATGCGAATAATTTTATTAAAAATAAAATAAAATCTTTTAGAGATAAAAATTCTAAATATAATAAACTAATATGTACTTTAAATAACAATGAGGATGATTTATTGATATATTGTGATTTGTGCACATGTAGAATTATAAATACTTGAACGTATAAATTGCATATAATTAAAGATTATTTAGATTTTGCATTAATTATCTTGCGCTTTAGGCTGTGCACTCCGTATATTTATAACATTAACACAGAGCCAAATTGGCTAACTCTAGCATACTCTGATATTCTATGTTTTATGCGTTACGAACTGGGATAATCACATAACTTTGTCATACCGCTAGTTAACTTAGAAAGCTTATAATTGAAGAGAGTGTGTACTTGGTGAATACGCTTATTCGGCATTACATAATGAAATTCTGGTGGTCCGTATAGTTTGATACTAATAATATTTTACATAAGAAAACTTTAATGTTTATGTTGCCGTTGTATAATGATATTTTTTTGTTTACATGTCATAAGAACAAGAAAGCATATATTATGAATTAAATTGCAATTAAGTTAAACTATTATTCTTAAATTAAAATTGTTTTTATTAGTTTAATTATTATGCGTATTATTAATAAGTCTAAGATAATTCGACATATTTATTCAAATTAATATACAATTTAAATGACGAATTGTTATCTTTTATAGAACAGATTGATTGATGGACGTGAAGCGCTTATAATATCGATATTAAAATTCATAATAATTTTAAATACGATGTGATTTATGGTAATATCGCATATTACTGTAAAATAATTAAGTGAATTCATTAATACTACTTAAAACTAATATTGCATTACAATTTATTCTTCATAAAAATAAAACTGCGAGTCTAATTATATTAATAATCAATATACATAGAATAATAAAATTTTCCTTGAAAAATAATTTCATTCCTGAAAGATAAAAGCATTAAATAATTAAATAATTGCTAAATAATTAAAATTTCAATGACATCTTGGTACTACATTGAGAAATGTTCAAAATTTAAAAATTAGAATGCAATTCTGTTTAAAATGAAATTTAAAATCTTGAAGATAATTAATACTATTATACATGTCAACATAAATAATATTACGGAAAGTAGAGCAATAATATCTATGTCGTAACGTTGATACCATGGATTATCGCTTTCACTAAATCGGAGAATATTTACTTCTTTGTGACGCATCACGAATTCTATCCACCACAGTGCATTTTCCATGGTGTCATAAGGTTGATCTTTGAAGAGATAACTTAGATACGTCATCTTCTCTTTGTAACTAAACATATATTAAGATTATCAATCCGTTATTATTAGCTACATAATAATAATAATATAATTATAATAATATAATTATAATAAATTAATTATTATTCATCCCTTGAGTAAGTTACATTACTAGAAGAAAGGAATAACAGCAATTGATTATGATTTATATTGAAATTATATATATATACCTTTTATCATTTAGAATTTGATGAATGGCTGTATGGAAACATTCTTTGGTTATTTTATTTAATGGGAGATATATTGCTGCACCTGATGAAACCAATCGTTTAATTCGAATTTCCTGTTCGGACACAACAGAAAGTCCCAATACTGGTACTGCGTAATAAACAGCTTCTTCGGTACTCTGAAGTCCGCCTTGATAAATAAATAGCTTGATGTTCGGATGAGCTGCACGATTTAGATAATTAGTAATATCGTGCGAGTTATATAAATGAATTGTCGATCGTGAAATAATGACTCCATATTTTTCATTTTACCGAGTACACTTTGCTGCGGAAACCAGCTCGATATAAATACATTATCGGACTTTTTTGACAATTTATCGCAATCAAATTTCCAGACTATTTTATAAGGTAATTTCGAAAATACTTCAATAAAATTTTCTAGCATTTCGTTTTGTAAACTGCGGCAGACGATAGTAGTTCCAAAGCTCACATAAATAAATCCCTCCGTTGCATTATTTAGAAATTGTTCTAAATCCTTGTCGTTGTTTGTGAAAATTAATTATTCGGTGCATTTATTATAAAGTGGTAAAAATTGAAAACGGATAATATATTACTAGATAATTTAAATATGATATGATAATAACTTAAAAATTTACATACTTTTGGCAGACGTGATAGCGTTTTTTGTATATGCAATCCACTAAAAAATATTGCATTTGTTTGTTCAGGTCTAGGGTATACATTTACTGGATTTTCATTAACTAATAACACACTCATGTTTTTCATTACATCAATAACTTGTGGTATGTCATGTCCGAGATATTTTTTAGCCGTCTCCTGCTCAGTAGTTATGAAATTACTAGTCCAATAATAAATAAGAGACCATACCTCGATAAAGTTTCGCAGTCTTTGCCAAATCGATGGATTTTCCCCAAGTAACGCATTAACTTCCCAATTTGAAGAATGTGATGGAAGAATAGGACTACCAAAAACATATCGTTGGTGATTATGTATGCCCAAAGACATAACTCCTGTATAATAGATTAGTCGAGATATCAATTTTCCACAACATACTGAAGGTATAACTCTCAGAAGGAAAGGTCAACACTTTTATACTTATAACGATACCAACACTTTTATACTTATAACGATACCAACATTTCAAGCAATACTAACATCCAAAATATCGACCGTTCCCTCTTATACATGTCACTTGCAGAATATCTTGTACGTGCCATTTGCAGAAATTATCTCACCTATGAGAGGAGCATTAAATCTATATGCCATAGTACATGTCGATAGACCGGCTATTGCTTCTACCATAACCGCATCAAACTTTTCATTACTATCCTCTTTATAAAGCTCCTTAAATTTTGGTACATTAAATATGGCATCGCTCATTATGTTTATTAAGTCGAAGCTGTATTTGTACAATTCGCTCGGTGACATTTGCGATTGTTGGTTTTTATACTCTTCAACAGTGGGATTTACAATCGACACATCGATTTCTGTATAATTTTTTAATGTCGGATCTTTCATCGGACGTGGAGTTACTATGACTATTTCGTGTCCTCGTTTATTTAAAGCTAAACATAACGACCGGTAAACTATTTGATGACTGTAAAATGGTGCAAACGTGATCACAAGAATCCTTTCAGCATTCGCAATGTTATTTGTCAGCAGCAGCCATAGAGATAAAATAACACATATTCTACAAATAACCTTATACATTTTGTCACTGTTCTAATTGTACTATTCTTTCAGAGTTATATGAGCACTTACATTTATAAATCGTTGAACAACCAGAGCTCGAATGAGGGCGCTTTCATATTGTCTGATAACATATAAATAGCTACACTAAAAGATATATATTTAAATTCTTTACTTATGTACTTATTTACTTATGTTTTTGTAAAATAAAAAAGATTAAATATTTTAAATAGGATTTTACCATACGCATTATTTTACATTAATTATAATTTACTATAATTTAGAAATATAGTTTATATATATATATATATATATATATATATATATACAGAGTAAAAAAATTTTTTGTCAAATTTTTATCAAAAATCGCGAACAATTTTTAAATAAATCGGGTACGCTCTATTAAATGGTGATATTTTCAACTTTTGAATCCGACCGGAAATACGCCATCCGGATTGAAAGTTGAGTTTTTTTAGGGAAATGGTGAAAGTGTCTCTGTCAATCTTAAAATTGACTTTGAAAGTAACTGTGATGAAATAATGAACTTCAAATGTTAATATTGACAGAAACACTTTTAGAAAAAACGTTTGATATAAAAGTTTCTTATTTTTTCACATACAATTCGAATCTGTAATAAAAAGTACCATGTTCCCCTAAAAAAATTAAGCTTCCGATCCGGATGACGTATTTCCGGTCGGATTCAAAAGTTGAAAATATCACCATTTGATAGAGCGTGCCCGATATACTTAAAAATTATTCGCGATTTTTGATAAAAACCATTTATTTTCATTTTAAAAGTGTACGGATGATCTGGGACATCCTGTATATATACCTATATATATATATATATATATATATATATATATATATATATATATCTTTATTTTCCTTTTTAAATATTGTTTTGACTGTATTTGTTTCTATTAGGACTAATTGTTTTTTTTTAATTGTTTTTCTTTTAATTTATTTATTCATTGCTCAAAATATAATATTAATGCCAAGTTACATATTATGTGTTAGTGCCCTTAATGACTTTAATCATCACTGTAAAGTGAGTTAAATGTTGCAATAAATCTTTATATTGCAATATTACACTATTATATTAAAATAAGATAGAAAAAAATATTTAATTAATAAATAAAAAATTAAAATAAATTATACGTATTTATCATTGTTATGACTATGATATTAATAATGTTGCCTGCAATACATTTTAATCATTATGATATACTTTCCTCATTACATGCATATTAATACAGATACTTTATGTAATGTTCGCCATGTGATATAAATAATAATAGAATTTCGAATTAGTAATATTATCAGATCAATGTCCGTGAACGTTACATATAATTTTTTTACCATTTAAATTTTAGCAATAACTCACAAGGAATTTACTTGAAATACATTTTAATTATAATTATATCGTCTTTATGTATGTACATATTAATGTACATACATATATATACATTATATATACATTAATATATACATACATAAAGACGATATAACTATAATTAAAATGTATTGCAATGTACGTAATATGCTGGTTAAAGCAATGATAAATATGAGAAGTAACTTAAAATTAATTGCATTTTCAAATTGATCTGCAAATTGTTCACGATACGAATGACAAAAAGTCAAATTTGAATATTGGCACAAAACTGTAATTAATCTAAATTTTTTCTCTTTCTCTCTTTCTCTCTCTAAAACATAAAAGCGTAGAAATTTATAGTTTCACAGACTTTTTTATGACGTTGAGATCATAGACCGGTACTCATAGTTCTTATATTTAAGATCATCAGTAAGGTTTGAAAATGTTATATGGTTATTTATTTGGCTGAACAGAATCTTAAGACGACCTAAGGCCAGACTTAAGACAATCTTAAATATAAGATCGGATTATGAATTCCGGCCATAGGCGTATAATATATAGACCGCGCGTTTCCACTCACTCTTTTGTTTCGGCAACGTCAAATTTTAGAAAGAGCGAAATTTGAGAGAGCTTATTTTCATGGTAGTTTCTTTTTTGTCTAATGACGCGTGGTGGGGGAAAGAAATCGATCAACACATATGTCAAATGCAGTGGCCTTATTAAATTTTTGCCCCACTCTTGTTATTGATAGACAGAGAAACTAACACCACGAAAGCATGTTGTTTCCTTCTAAAATTTGTTTAACTTTTTAGCCAAACGCGAAGTCTATGTATTCTACGTCTGTGGTTGAGATGCATTGAAGCGACACCAATAGATAAATGTTTTTGCATGGTTTATTAATCTAAATAAATTTCTTTCCTTTTAATTTATTATTCACCTTTTTGAACAAACATTACATCTTGAATCATTTAAGTAATTCATCTTAAAATCTTACAAATTCAAATTCCGTGCTTTATTAATAAATAATGCTTTCAATGTGTGTATAAGAATATCGACAAAAATTTCAATAATCAGTACACGAACTTAAAATTGCTTCATGCTATCAATTGTACTTTCAAAGTAGAATATATGAATTTATATTTATATTTTATATTCTAATAAATTTATAAATTATTGTTAGCAAAGATAGAAGCAATAGTTTATTTTTGACATCAAATTGAATAGAAAAGTCTTTCAGCATTCTTTCTCCAGTAAACAGTTATCAAAATATCGTAATCAACAGATTGAAAAATGTGACAAATAATATGGAATATTAAGGTAGTACATTTATCAAATTTCAATTTTATAGTTTACAAATAATATAAATGACACACACACACACACACACAATATATATATATATATATATATATATATATATATATATATATACATGTATACAATACCAATTATTACACGATTCTATACATTAACGTTACTTGTGTCACTTATGAGAGAATATTCTCGCATAATCGCAAATAATGTTAAAATATTTTTTATGCCAACATCTACCGCAATGAATTCGATAACATTCGTAAATGAAATCGTAAAATCTGAAATAACGTCCATAGAATAAGAAGGGATGCTATAAATATTAGTATAGCGAGGAATCCGATGATGTCCCAGTCGTATCGTTGATACCATGTCTCGTCGGAAAGACTATTTCGCAAGAAAAGTGTTCCATTCTGTCGTATCACGAACTCGATCCACCTTACCGTATTTTGAAGACTATCATACGGTACATCGTTATAAAGTTTACTCACATATTTTATCCGATCTTTGTATCTTAAAATAAAGAATACTATCGTTACATCAATGCACATGTGATTTAAAGCTCTTCTTCTTATTACATAAATTAGTCAAGCTCTAATAAAAAAAGATTATATTAAAAATATGACTTATGCAGAATAATACCTCTTATTATTTATAACTTCGTGTACAGCTGTCTCGATGCTTTCTTTCGAAATATTGTTACTATGAAGGTGAACTCCAATACCTAATTTTGTCATATATTGCACGTTATACATCTGATCCCAAAATATGGGAAATCCTATGATAGGAACTCCATAATAGACAGTTTCTTCGGTACTTTGCATGCCGCCTTGATAAATAAATAGCTTGATATTTCGATGAGCTACAAATAAGAAAATCAACACGAGTTATAGGAATTAATGTTTCTAAAACACATACTTACATACATAGAAACAATATTACCAAGAATACTTTGTTGGGGAAACCATTTCGATGCTAGTATGTTTTCAAATTTGCCAGGTAATAAATCAGGGTCATATTTCCAAACAACTTTGTATGGCAGTGCAGAAAATACTTCGAGGAAGAATTCAAATGTATTATTTGGTAAATGTTCCCATTTAACGTTAGTTCCAAGACTGACATAAATAAATCCCTTGGTCGAATCGTCAAGAAACTGTTTTAAATCCTAGGGAATATAACGAGACTAATAACAGACACGCAAATGCATATAATACGGTGCAAATAAATCTTATTTGAAAGCATTGAAAAGATACACATATATACATATATATGTATGTATAACGTACTTTTGGTAGAGCAGGCGGTACTTTTGCGATATGAAAACCATGGAAAAATATGACGTTCCGTTGTTCAGGCCTGTCATAAGAGAGCACTGGATGTTTGTTCACCAAGTATATACTCATATTTCTCGTTATATCAACGATATGCGGCAGATCTTCTCCTAAATACTCCTTTACAATCGCATCCTCTATAGGGATATGTACGTTCGCCCACTTATACATCTGTTTCCACACTTCATAAAAGTTAACGAGTCTTCTCCAAAATGACATATTGCTTTCCGGTAATGTATTGATTTGCCAATTAGAAATATGCGATGGGAGAATCAAGGATCCAAACGTATAGCGCATATGATTGAATACATCCAAACTTGAAATACCTAAATGTCACGTTACATATTACTTCATGACTATGCGAATAAAATGAGAATAATTATGCTTAATGCTAGGAAAATGGATCGTATAATTCAGTTCTTTGATATCGCTTATTTTTCTTACCGATAAGAGGAGCATTGAATCTATATGCGAAAGCGTTCAATGAAATTTGTGTGGGGCCTTGCTCTACAATAACTGCATCAAAGTGTTCATTGCTATCAATTGCATATAATTTCTTCATTTCTGGATTTTTGAAAAGTTCGCGATTTAGGATGTGAGCCGCAGTCCACGCAATACTTTCTTCTAGATCTAGAAGATTTAACTGCACAACTGCTTCCATTAAATTTTTAAATGGCATTTTTTTATATTCAAGAAAACCTTTATAAAAATATTTTAAATCAATTTCTCTATAATTTGTTAAAGAAGAGTTTTTTATAGGATCTGTAGTGACAGACACAATCTCGTGACCTTGTTTATTTAATTCTAAGCATAAATTACGATAAACTATTTGATGGCTGTATGACGGAAAATTTGTTATTACTAATATCCTTTTAGCATGTGTCACATTATATTGCACTATTCCATACAAAATCGTATATATTGAGAATAAATATATTTTACTCCACATTCTTTCAATGATCTCAGTAAATTTTGTCACAAATGTGAAATGCACTTGTAGTATTCAGGTGAAACCGTACATATATAGTATTCGTGAGATTAAATTTTATACAAATATTTTCCTATTTGCAACGAACTATTTGAAATGCGCATATAATGTATTTTTAAGCAGAGCATAAATATATTTCTAGTGTATTTCTTAAACTTTTTGAGTTTAACTTAAAATTGTTAATCGCATGAACCGTACATTTTAGCCTTATTCTGATTTAGAAAATCAGATATAATACGAATTATTTTTGAATTTATAATGCATTTTTTTTGTTATATGATGTACGTCGTAAATACATCGATATCATGATATCGATTAAACAATATATGCATGCATTTACTTATTTATTTCTTTCTTTTATATTTTTCATTATTAATTATTATTCATGTGTAAATTTTATGGGATTGGACTAACGACCATAATGATTAATGCGTGATCGTCGGCTCTTTACGATGTACACACACACTTTCGCGTTGGATATAAAATCGTTGAAACGGACGTGTGGACATTCTCATAAATCTGTCGGCATCATAAATCGTCTCGTTGAGATATATTTAAAAGCATGCTGTCTCCGGTAACAGACGGCGATAAGTTTTCTCAGGTCGCTCGTTTCTCCATCTCTTGTTTCCGTATCGATTAAAGAGGCCATGTATCTTAATAAATTGCGCATTAGCCGCCAGTTGTTCCGACACCATCCACCATATGTACTGATCTCATAATTTAAAAAGTTTCGTGATTTTACACATTATTTATGTAGACAGACCACGCGAAAGGAAATCGAATTTCCTTTTTGCAGAATGCAAAATTGTATCAGTGTTGTTTGCTTGTAGTGACGGCCGGATATGAGAGATATGGATTTTTACAAAATCCAAATATCGATTTTATATTCGTTTGAAAAAGTTCATGGTTTATGGAAAATGGATATTAATTTTCGCAATTCTACTCTAGATATATAAATCATTTTCTTCATAATAATCGAATAATAATAATATAAATTCTCTTAATATATCTTACAATTAGTTAAATTATCTTAGAAATTATCTTATAAATCTCTTACAACTTTTTCGTATTTTGTTTGAATAATCATAATCCGAAAGAATGTGATGTCAAAAATTTGAATTATTTATTTATAATATTTGTTAAATAAGTGTCTATTATGTTGCCAATAATCTTTTTGAGAAAACTTATCTTAATGTGTATACACACACACACACACACACACACACACACACACACACACACACACACACACACACACACACACACACAAATATATATATATATATATATATATATATTATATATATATTACACATAAAATATATTTTCATAAAAGGCTTTCAATTTATGTCAAATATTTTTATATGTATGCAAGAATATGTATTTTGTTTTGATAATAAAATAATACCCTACAGCGCACAATCCAGAATACTAAACGTCAATAGATTTTCTCTTTGAAAAATAATATATTTCTCGCAATATCATATATTTGTTAGACATTCTCGGAGATTGACGCACCTTTTATTAATCCAAGTTATTCAGAGAGGTAACGTGCAACGTTTTATATAAACAGCTGCAGCATTTTCCTTTAGTTCCCATCATGTGAACATTATGAGACTGTCTGAGTATAGCGACTGTCGGAAACTACGACGAGAAAGACCGCGATACGAATGTGTCGAGAATCCGACATTTTGCATTATAACGCCGATGGAAAAGCTGGCGAAGAATTCAGGAGAACGTCAATAAAACCTGCTCGCGATGCCTTATTATTCTCTATAACATGTATTTCAGGAGGAGTGTCAAGTGTCTTTCAATGAGTGGAAAAAGACGTTTACATTTCAATCATGTTACTGATACGCAGATTATCCTTGAAGATTATTGTTGTGTATTTTATGAACAACCATGATATGACAATTATTTTTCTCTCTAAAAAGCATCGAATGTACATTGATTCAAATTATAGACGATACTTTTCACTTTTTTCCTTTTTCTTTTTTATTATTTTAGTTTATATAATATATTAATATAATAACTTTATACTTGTTTTTTTATAATTTTTCCTTTGTAATTCTTTGTAATTTCTCATAATTGTTATTTTTGTCATAACATTAATTTATATAATTATCTATTTATTATATTAAAAGGATTTCTCTTTCGTTTCTAATAAATGAATAAATAAAAATTATTCAAAAAACTTTGCAATTGCATGTTTCAAAAACAGATTTATTCTTCAATGTAATGCATTGATTATCAGTATAACATTGGTAGAAATCAAAATTTCCAAGTAATATTAAACACCTGTCACAAACTAGGGACAGCAAAGGCAGATTGCGATATGATGGTTTGAAACCATGTAGGAGATATGTGGACGAAATAGAGTTACGAGTGCTTTTCAGGATATTATGTTTGAGTTTCGCTCGTAATATACGCGTGCATCACTAACTTTACACCGCGATATCAAAGTAACGATGGGGGTTGTGAGACTAAAGCACAATTAAGATTTTATTTTGAATTGAAGACATTAATTGTCGAAGACGAAATTAAATTATATAATTAGATAGTGCTGCAATATATTTTTAATTATGTAGAATTTTAAAAAAGTGTATTTATATATTATAAGTTATATGTGAGAAAGAAAATATTTCTTTTTCTTTCCTCGCTTATATTATTGTTTTATATATTTATATTGTAAGAAATATCGTATCGATCGATTAATAATATTTGTTACATCAACTTTATAATATAAAGCAACGCTTCAGGGTAAAGTAGATGGAATAAAGAAATCTGGGGGAGGAAGATAAGAATTCATCTAATTGAAGTATTTTAATTATTCCGTAGTTATAAAAGGAAGTTCAAGGCACGAGTGAATTTTAGCGAGTATCACAGGAACTTTAACTCGGACGATTCGTCGACTATTAAAAGGTAGTTAAATAAAATACCAGCTACCTAAGGAAATTACAAACGGAACGAAGTATAATTACTGAGAAGAGCGCCATATAAAATACAGCGTTTAATTGCAATTTCCATTAAACTTGTACATCGAACGACTATGTTCTGTTTGATTTCGAATAAAAAGGCTTTCTAGAAACGTTCTTTCAATACAATAGAAAACATTACCAGAATATAATAATAGTAACGGACGACAGCCGCGTTCGTTGTTTTTACAAATACGTTTTGTGCAAACAAGTTTGCGCATTTTTTCCAGACGCGACCGTGAACGCAAATATGTGCTAATGGATGTGCATCGGTAAAATATCAACGTTGCTTAAACATCACGTCAATGTCAAACGTTCAGCCACATGAGTTAGATTCCAATTTTGCAAACGTTATCGTAACATGATGTTGCAGTCAAAGCGCATATGGTATACTTTTAACTCAGACATGCGCACGAAATTATAAAGCCATGTATCTTTATATCTGGATTTTACCAATTTGACTAAGAGCTTATCGCGATTGTTCTTTATATTTTTATTTAGAATACAAGAAGGAGAACAGAGATGTATGAAAACTTAAACTCGACTAAAGGAGATACTGTTGAAGCGACACTAATAAAATTCGAATGAATTTTATAATAGCTTACAAACTGTGCTTGTAAGATTTCCAAAATATGACACGACACGAAATCTGAATAATTTATTTTTGTCTTATATATTTATCGCCGTCAATGATTTTATGAAATGGAATGACTATAAATGGAATACTGACTGTGTGTATCGATTTCGTCATTAAGGCAACACTCATGGTTTATTTAGATGACCGCATTGAGATAGATAGAGAGATAGAGAAAGATAAATAGAGAGATAGAGAGAGGGATGGAGGAAGGAAGGAAGGAAGAGAGAACGAAAGTGTTGCTACGTATGAGGTCGGTACTCCAGAGTCACTTGCTCATTCAGTTGATTACGTCGGCCCGCAAGTATGGCTTTTCCCTATGGTTTCGAGAGCCCATAATCCTCCCATCTCCGTGCCGTTGGGTTATTTGCGCGATCCTGAAATATCAGTTGACTCGCCGGCGTTTATGAGTTCAAACGAGAACCCTTCTTACCGGCCAGACGCGTGTTATAGCACTATTTTATTCTCTTGTAATAAAAAAAATAACATTAATTCAATATCGCTTAACAATTTTTACAATAATGGAAAATAGTCATTTATTTATTTATTTATACATATTATGTATATATGTTAACTGTTATATGTATAACTCTTTTTATCGTAAAATCTATACAAAATCTTTTACTTTGTGATACTCTGCTACTTTTCTGGCATATGTTGAAAGACGCATTGTAGACAAGCGGATGAAAACTGTTAGCGGTGTAAGCCACTTAGCTCCGAGGCATTCGTCTAACGAGTGGATGGTTTCGATCGGCTCTTTTCATGCTATTGTGTTTGCGAAAGCTTTCTTCTGAGCCTTGTAGCCCTCCAGGGTACCTTTAATTAAATTCTATTCTATTTAATTAAATAATATTCTATTGTATTAAATAATATTTATAATAGAAAGAGCAATAATATCGACTAAACAAGAGATTTCTCGTCGACGGACAAATTTTTGAGACCGAATATTATCTACCTGATTTTAATTGATCCTCTTCTACTGATTCATCTGATCTGAATGTGTTTATGGGCGTACTATATTTCGAATAGCTTGTAGTGTGGCACCTTGCATTTAAATTTCATACATTTTTTGCATATTCGCGTATTTATTTTCTACTTATACAGAATCGAATATCCAAGTTATACGTTGCGTAGTTTTATGAATATGAGACTTAAATGCTGGAGAAGCTGCATAGAAACGCGTACCTCGTGTGTGTTCAGGAAAGTATGTATTTATTAACATAGCTTGTGTGTGTGCTTGTATCAACACTGCTTCAGATTGTACAATAACATCCCCTTCGTATACTCTTGCTACTCTTATTTTCTCACTAAAGGCCAGAGAAAAGGAATTTCTCGACAAAGTTAAGAAATTCTTTGCTACCTGCCGCGCCTTTTACATAA